TTTGTGGTTTTCCAAGAGACCTCACCAAAGCACAGTAATCCTTTCAAAACCTTTGTTTCTCCTGCCCATAGAAAATATGGCCTGTAGTTTAGATATGACTTGTCCACTTGCAAAAGAACTTGCGGAGCAGTTGAACACAAGACCAAAGAGAAGGATCGTCTTCGGAGCGGCGCATATGTCAGAAACCATAGAGAGAATTGCCTTGCTGATCTATGTTATATCTTTAAAATGATAGCAATGGTATTCTCCTGTGGATGGTTGATCTAGCTATCTAAAACCATCTTAAGGGCTGCAGGAGCTACTTATCTAATGACTGGACTACTAAAGCAAGGGTATGCATTATAGTGATTTATTTTTTAGTAAGTTCTTTTTTTCCTGCAGATGTATGGTATAATGTGGTACCTAGGTTAAAAAGGCACTGAACAATTATCACATTTTGTTTCGTTTGTACACTGTTTTTTAAATTTACAAAATGTTATAATAATGGCTGAATGTGAAGTTACGGCAAAGTTTGGAATAATTCTATAATATAAGTGTGCGTGTGTGCATAAGAATAGCATTTGTTGCTACTTGAATTGCAAGGATTTTGTGTCCACGTGCATTAGGAAATAAGTAGAGCAATTGCTAATAAAAGAAGGAAGAAAAAACAGAGCAAAATCAGGAAAAATATTATCAGCTGTCATCATTTGATATCAATGTCTTACACTGGTTGTACAGCTTTTTGCTGAAAGGAATAGTAAGAGTTTAATAGTGAGAAGTTTAGAAATTACCACACCAGAGGAGACCAGTTAGTTCCAGTTGCTGTCACTAATGGTGTTCTAAAGATGAAAGGGAAGGTGCAAGTTATGTTGTGGAGTTTCTCAAGGGAAGCTTTCTGCTGGTACTGGTCACTCCATGTATTTCCTGAAACGTATGGACAGAACGCTTATAATTCACATAGCTGCAGGTGCTGTTCATACTTGTATTAGAATAAAATCCTAGAAATGAGTGAGGAGGTTATGGCTTTTCATGTGTCTGCTTGAATGGAGTGTATTATTATGCAACCTACATACCCAAAGAAAATAAACAACAGTAAGCATAATATGTAGCCCCTATCCCCCAAATTAATAGTTAAGATAGAGCAAATAAGAGAAAATAAGAGCTATCCTGACCATCTATTTGGAAGTGTCTCTGGGGGGTTTAATATTTTCTTTCTTTCCTTTAGTATTTTTGGCCAAAGCTGGAACTAGAAATGCTGAAGGAGAATCTGTTCCTGTAGCACTCCCAGCCAGATGAAATTAGGAGGTCTCGGCAATCGGTTGAAAGAGCTTCCTGCAGGAAACTTACACTTCAGAGTCTCTGAATCTTCTAGTTTGGCTGGAACCTCTGAAATTTGGAAGGGCATCCTTGTTGCTCTTACAGAAAAAATAACCTTCTGAAAGGGGACTGTTTCTAAAAACTAGGCATTAGGAATTGGAATGCGTAATTGAACTGCAAATGGTTTCCAGCCATTGCCATTCATGTTTTAACTTTTTCCTTCTCTCCCTCCCCCACCCTGCAGTTCATGACAAAAAACCCAAATAAACGACTTGGCTGTGTGGCATCACAAAACGGGGAAGACGCGATTAAGCAGCATCCGTTTTTCAAGGAAATTGACTGGGTTCTTCTAGAACAAAGGAAAATCAAGCCACCCTTCAAACCTCGGATTGTAAGTAGGAGTTTGCATAACATTCAGAGGAAACTTGGTTTGACAATTCTAGTTGTTGGCTTTTCTGAGACATGAGATTACTTGATGCAACATTTGGGGGTTGAAATAGTAACGTGAAAACCACGCTGAAAAGATTGCCTTGTCATTGTTTCTGTGAAGGTAAGTGTCAGGAATAGATTTAATGCACAGGAAGATGTTCATGTTCAGTCACATAAACCATGAGAGGGTTCGAGGCCCTGTTTTAATTATTTTCCTGTGTTCCTAAAGATACCTTGATTGGAAGAGATTAATTTCAGTTGGGTATATACTGTCTGTACTTTCTGTGTGAACTCTGCTAGAGTCCTGCGCTGCCGATGGCCACTGGATTTTGTAGTGAAAGACAGAGGAAAGAATTTCTCATTAATAATATTTTAACTGAAGATGCTTGAAAAAACAGCTTCCTGGGGGAAAGAAATATACATCACAATTAGATAAATTGATGTACTTACATTTTCCTAGGTAATAATCAAGTATTTCTATTTAAAGTGACAAAAATATGTAGCAGCCCCACATGCAGAAACTACGAAAGTCAAGCAAAAATACTTTACTTATTCTTGTCTTCCTCTGGATGAAAATATTTACAGTTCACCAAATGTCAGCTTTTCAGCTGAGAATATGTGCCATAAATTTTGTGCTTGAACAGTACAAGAGAATAATTTTCTGATAAATCCTTTGAGATTGATTTACATTTTTTGACTTTGCACATTCCTAGTTACAATGTTTGATTTGCCTGTAAATATGATCAAGGTACTTGTTTGCTTCTTTCTTTAGATAGTTTACAAAGGTATTTTTTAAAAAACAAAACAAAACTTTGGGCTCAACACTGAATTCTAACTTAAATTTAGAGGTGAAAAAGTCCCTTCTGTCATTGCAGAATTGCTGTCTGTTGCATTTGATGCGTTTACTTTTAGTCCAGTGAGATGCATTTCCCCCAGTTCCTTGTGTAGGCGGCGAAAGCGGGGCTGCCCGTCCAGAACAGGAGCCTGAGGCAGCTCATCTGAGTCCTTTCTTGGAGAAGCCTCTCTCTCTCCTGTAGCTATTGACAACTGTAAGTGAAAGTTAGCCCCTGTGAATGTCTTTCTAGGAGTAATAGTAAGATATAGTGTTACCATATGGGGAAGTTTTTCTTAATATATTTCTTGGAGAATGGAAACCTTGTAATGTGGTAGCTACAGGCAGAGGGATGCCTGAGCCAGCCCCTCTCCTGGAAAGGGTCCAGCCAGCTGGGCATGCCGGCTCCCTTACCCTGCCGCCCAGCTCTGCTCTGGAGGTGTGGCCAGGTTGCACCTAGTGCCTGAGCTGACTTACAAATCTCTGCACTGGTGCAGGAAGTGTAAACCCCAAATTACCCCTATTAGTATCTATCTGAAGCCTATTTAATACTGTAAATAGCTGCTTTCCAGTCAGGTTCCACAGCCCTCAGATAGCTGCAGACAGCCTTAGTCGGTGTTTAGCCGAGTTGCGTGTGTGTAGCTCTTTTCCCGTTTTCACAAGAATTTGGCCTTTCGTCTCGCAGTAATTTTTGTTGCTTTGCTCAGTATTCATCAACGTTTTGGTAATACAGTTATCAAATCAGGATGCACAATTCCAAAATAATTTTCACTTTATGCCTGCATCTAGTAAGTCCCAGATTCCTCACATCTAGTCTGTTTATGGGCTGTTTTCCTTTCCTGATCAAGATGCACAGTCCCTTTGACAATAGGTATT